CGCCTCTTCCCGGCCGGCGGGCCCGAGCGCAGCGCGGCGGCGGCATGGCGGTGTCCTGCGGGAGCTGGCTGGCCAACGAAGGCGCGAAGCACCTCTGCCTGGTAGGGTGGCGCGCGGCTCCGCGCCCCGGCGAGCGCGCGGCGGGCGGCTGGAGGTGCACTTCTGTCTGACTCGAACTTTCCCAACTAACAAAGTTTATGCTGTTAGGAGACCGTAGAGACATGCTTCTTCTCGTTCTCTGCGCTTGGGAGCCCGTCTGCGCCGGGACGGGAGAGCGGAGGTCCAGAGCGGAGGCGGGGGCAGCCTCTTGGGTGAACACAGTGTTTTGTCAGCCCCTTAGGCATTTTCCCCCTTTGCTCTTTTTCCCAGATCGGTTCTGTTTGCTTAGTGCTGTCACCAATTTGCAGTCTTTCTTTGCACTTCAGGGGATCCCCGCAGATCATCCTGTTTGGGAGGTGTGCAGGGAGAGCTGCTAGCCCTCAAATGTTTATGCTTAGGTTGAGAGACTGGTTAGATAGGGCCAGGTTTTCCTCTGGGTGGTGTCCAGCTTTCTGCTTAATGGGCAATACTTCCCGCAATCGCTTGTTGCTGTTGCATTAAAAGTACTATGTTCAGAAAGCAAAGTGATGTTTACTTTTAATTCTTGTTCTCCCCGTGCCATTGGTTGCTTTAGCTCGTTTGGCTCTGCTTGAACGTCCTACTGTTTTGGAAAACCTTCCTGCTGTACAACCAAGGTCCAGAGTACCACTACCTCCACCAGATGTTGGGCGTAAGTACAACCGCGTGACTTGTTGGAAGGGCTTTAGCGTAGCAGACGTTTTCTCAAAGGTTGGTCAGTTCCAGTCATCAGAGAAACATCTGGGGCCGGGGAGATGGTTCAGTAAAGTATGCGCTTCTCTGGCAAGCGCAAGGGCCTGAGTTCAATCCCAGGTTCCGGAAAAAGAAAAAAAAAAATCTGCTGCACACTTTCCAAACTCTAGTTTCCAAAACTTGACGTGGCCAAGTTGTCTTGATTTATCGTTCACTCCTGTCTAGGTAAGAAAGAGACTTTTAAGAACGAAAGATAACATCCACTGAGGTGAAATGAGTGAACCGGCCAGACCAGATTGTTAGTGCCTGAGAAAGGTCCCCAAGTGCCCCGCGGGCCGGGCTTCCACGGGAAGACCAGCCCCTGAGGGCGCTTAGTTTTCACTTTTCAGGGCTCTCAAGCCGCTCATCAGGTATTCAGAGGATTTCTACACTGTTTTCTGTTACTGCGAGTTCTCACAAGTGCGCCTCTAATGGGGTTGTTCACTTCTGGGAAGTTCTCAGTTGCCTGCCTTAGGGTAGCAGCTGATTGCGGTTCCAGCGTTTGGGTCTGCTAGGAGAATGGTGGTGTGCACAACTTGGCCCTGACTTACTTCATGTAGACATTTGTTTTCCTCTGTTCTGAGCTCATCTTTGTTTTTCTGTCATTTCCTATTCGACCCCTTAACAAAAGGCAGTTTTGCTGATGACATTTTACTTTGCATTGGGGCTTGCATTTTCTAAAAAGGAACCACAAAATCCAAACTGTACGGCATAATCTCAGGGCCCCTGAGCAAGCAGATTTGTCATTTATCGTAGAGGAAGAAAGCATATTTTAAAGATGAGAGGGATTGCTTTTAGTGGCTGTTTAGAATTACTTCAGGTTGATTGTGTGGAACTAGCTCTCTCATACTTTTTGCATGTAGAGAATTTATTTACCTTTAAATTTGGTACCCCAGGTTGGGACTGGCTCCTGCAGTAAGTTGCAGCTAAATTAATGTTTATTTTATTTTTTACAAAAAGTGCCATATTTCATAACCTATGGGTCACATTTTTTTTTAATGCTTCATACCTGCGTTTTAAGTTAATGAGATGAGACAAAGTAGTCTTGAAAACAAGCTCATTTTATTGGAAAAAATGAATTGTAAACATTCTGTCATCCAGTAATCTCTGTTCAGCCATCCAGAAACCAGTGTGGAATCTGCACTTTTTTTTATGGTTCTGTGGGTTGAACTTAAAACCTTTGCACTAAGCTCCACCACAGGACTGCTTTCCCTTGCTTTCTTTCTGAAATTTTGAGACAAAATCTGCTCCACCTGCTCAGGCTGCAGGCTGGGCTGGAATCCTCGTGCCTTAGCCTCTCAGAGAGCTGGGATTACGGGGCTGGTCACTGCTGGGCTGGCAATCTGTGCTTTCTGGATGGCACTGAGGCTAAAACCAGATCCCTCTTCTCTATTTGCATGTGAGTTAACACAGGAAAACCCATAAGCAAACAGAATTCTAAAAGCCCAAGATTGTTTTCTAATAAACTTCTTAGGTCTGCCAGCCCATCATTGTGTTTCATGGAAATGACCATTTGATGTGAATTAGTGAAGAAGACATTTTTTTCAGTGGGAGATTTGTCTGACTTCTTGTAAAACTTGATGAACAACTTGAAGAAGACCTTTGAGAATTACAGGAATTCTGAATCAGTAAAATTGGTTCTGAATCAGTAGATATTTGTGTTAATGTAAAAATCTAAGAATTAGAGTATTACTGCAATAACTTGGAAAGTTGTAGTCTAAGTTTAGATTTTAGCTTGGTAACACTATATAAATAAACTAAAATAAAATCTATTTTTAAGAAGGTTAATTACTTGGAAATGAACAAATTAACCTTTGTGTTCTTTTTTTTTTTGTTTTTGTTTTTTTGCTCCGAATGCCTTCAGGGCAGGTTTGGCTGGCTTGAGTTGTGGGGATCGAACCCCAGCAACCTGAGCCTGACTGCTTTGTTGAAGCAGCCACTTAAAGAACTGAGCTAAGGGGCAGGCCCCCAACCTTTGTGTTCTTGTATGTTGTGTAATTTCAATTTATTTTGGTTACAATTCAGATGAAGGTGGTGACACATACATACATGCATATGTGCACTCACACACACGCGGCCTGACACACTTTAAAAATATTTAAAAATATTTTCTATTCAATTCCATCCCACTTCAGTGGTTTTATTTATGTGGTGTGACAGGTGGGGGAGGTCCAAGAATTGTGTGAATATTAATGAAGGGAATGCAGAAAGGGAGAGATGGAGGTTCCAGGGCAAAATGGCAACAGACAAACTGAGGCAGAACGAGAGCACCCCGTTACTCTTCTGGGTGACACGAGGCTTGTGCGGTAAGCCTGCCTCGCTGGTCAGGAGTCAGCACTGGGTGAGAGTCCTTTTGAAAAGGTATCATGTTCCTTCTTAACATCAGGTGGGAAGATGGAAGATGACCTTCCCACGCGTCACCCATTTGAGCTTTTTAGTCAGTAAGTCATCTAAATCATTTTAAAATTGCCTTCTCAACCAATATATGCTTTTCAATAAAACCAAGGAACTCCTGTAATTTTACCATATACTTCGTGAAGGAGTATCCATTTGTTCTAGAATTCCGTTTCTAATCCTCCAACTGTGGTGTGGTTTCATAGGACAAGATTTTTCAGGCACTGTTCATGCTGGAGAAAAAAACAGAGTGCAACAATGTGATAAAATTAATTTTAAATTAAACATTGCTGGTTGCCATGTTTTACATCTTCCATAACTAGAAAGTGTTAGTTTAATGTCTTACAGTAGTGCGTAGTAGATCTTATCACTCAGTTTGACCACAACAAAAATATAGAAGTCCTGAAGAGAATATGAATATTCTGATATAGTAAGTTTCTTTTAGATTCACAGAAATTTTAGATTCACGAAAATCATACTGGTGTTTCTGGAAATCAGTTTGTACCATTTAAAAACACAAATGGAAAAAATAAATCTGTCTATTTTCTGGATATTCTGATAATAGTGTTAAGTGTAAAGGTTGCTGCTGTTTATCTGGAAAAGTGTCCTGTGCTAGCAAAGTGGTCCTCATAGCGTGGCTGGAAGGGGCCACAGAAAGCGTCTTTTCTGCAAGGAGACATGATACAGAGAAGCAGTAAATTTTTAGTACTGACCCGATGTCTTTGCTATGTATTGAAAACAATTAGCCACTCAACTCTGCATGAGCCTGTACTGTGCCAGGCATTCTGTAGGTATTGTGCTTGAGCTGAGAAGCAGTTGCCGTTTTGCATTCCAAGACATAGGCCAAGGAAGGGGTGTGACTTGCTGACATTTTTTGGGTGGGCAGCGTCCACAGGAGAGTGTCAAGATACAGTCTTCCTGGATCTCTGCTTTTCTCTCTTAGTGGACACTTTTAAACACTATTTCACTGGCTCAGGTGCTCAGAACACCGATTAATATTCCTCCTTATCATTGCTGCCAACAGAAATATAATGTAAGTCATGAAGGGAAAGGAGGCTGGAAACACTCACTTACAGATGCATTAAACCCAATATGTCCAAAATATTATTATTTTGATGTATAGTCATTATTTAAAAATTAATATGATGATAGATGATTTTGATACAGGGAATTGAACTTGGGACTTGTGCTTGCCAGGCAGGTGCTGTGCCTCTGAGTTAGAGCGACTCTAGATTTGCAAAAGAGTAAACGAGTTCTTGCCAAACCAATCCCTTCCTTTCTTCAGAGTGATAAAGCTGCTGCTCACAAAGGTGCAGACTTCTTGGCTTGCACTTGAATACTTTTCTCATACTCCATAGTGCTGTGGCAGTAGATCCTGTAGGCCTCTGCCCGAGTTGGGTCTTGGATATTTGGTTCACTTAGAAGTTAGTTCCTGTATTCCTAATAAGATCTGTTTGATCGTGGTGGCTGGCCTCCAGTCTTTCTCCTCCTCCAGGAAGGACAGGTACACTGTGCCCGACAGGTACATATTCGGGCGGAAGAGAGGTGGCTCAGATTCCCATTTTGGTGATGAGGGTGGATGAGCGTCTTTGAGAAGCACCCGTGGCTCGCACAGCCTCCTTCCGGGAAGCCCCCTTATTCCCTGGGATGGTGCCCTTCAAGTTCATCGCTCATTGTGCCGTCGGGATTCTTGGTAGGGACAGCCACAAAGCCGAATGGGGCGGTCTTTTCTCCAAGCTTTTCTCTCCTGGGCAGGTCTACTGAGGGTGATCCCCAACTTATTCAAAGTCCCTGGTGGCCGCGGCCTGGCTAGTCATGGTGACAGAGGCAGTGGTGCTCCCTTTGCATCCTAATGCCATTTTTTTTATTTAAAAAGTAATGCCACTTTTTCTATTAGTTACTTGAAATACGCTATGTATTTTCATTCTGATGCATATAACAATTCAGTCACTAAATATTTTGTTGTTTTAAATCTTTATTTGTTTATTTATTTGGTACAGGGGCTCACTATGCAGCTCAGACTCATAGTGATCCTCCTGTCTCAGCCTCCTCAGTGCTGGGATTACAGGTGTGGGGCACCTTGCCCAGACTTGGTGGCCTGGAAGGATATGCGGTACCCGGGTTTGAACCAGGTCCTTGGGCTTGACAGGCAAGCACTTACTCTTTTGAGCTATCTCCCTAGCTCAGTCATGAAATTTTTATAAGGAATGTAAAATCTTTGTTTTTCATCTCGTAAGATTTGCAGGTGAAATAGCCGATTTACACACAGGGCCTAGGTTGTTGCAAACATTCTTTAATGTCCTAACACAAACGAATTCCAGGTTGTCCCAAGAGTTCTGGAGGCTGAGGTGGGAGGAGTGTTTGAGTTGGGGAGTTTGAGAGCAGTCTGAGAAACACTGAGATTGTGTCACAAGTAAATAAATACATAATTAAAGATTAAAATACTGAATCTAACGATTAAGTTCTTGGGTGAGTATAGGAACATTTAGCATATTGAAAAGTCATACGTGGCCAGATGTTCTTTCT